AATTAACAATAAGTACGTGTAAAATAAATGCTAAAGAAAACTTAATTTTTTTAATAATTTGAGAATCATAATGGACGAACTAGAAAATTCCGATTATCACAATTAAAATTTTAGTAGTTTAACCAGAAAATTCTGATTCATCCATTTTTAACCAAAATTCTAATTATTCCAACCAGACATTTTTGTCCGTGTATTTATTTTCACAATCTTACAGAATTTTTTATTATTTAGTTTTTCAAATCATTTCGACGGCTTTGAGGTCAAGTCGTCTTGTTATGTCGCCTGCAATCATTTTACTCAGCAAGCTAGTACATCAAAGTTAAACGCTAAATTGGTTACGGGGATACGTCATCGGTTAGCCAGTAAAAGATCGAGATGTCGGTATATCCAGAAAGGGTTAAGTTTCTCAAGAGATCACTCGTCTCGAAAGGGCCACTTTTACCTTGATCTTAATCATGGATCATCGGGATTTCAAAGAGATCGAACACACGCGAGATTTCGAACGGAAGAGTCGATCAAACGGGATGGCCGGACGAATTATAGCCAGCTCGGTAGTCTGGTAAAGGGGTGATGCTGCCCTTTGCCGAGGGCGACATCGAGATGTTCCCTCTGATCTTGCCCGGCAACGATTGATAAGTGGATAAAGAGGCTCGAGGAAACGGAGTGTCTCGAAAGTTCGGTTAGGTTAAAGAGACAGGTTGACAGGAAGGAAAAACGAAGAAGATATAGGGTTCGCACAAATGTCGACGATCGCACCCCTGCGAGGCTCGTTAAGCATTGACAGAAAGTTGCGAACATAAGCAACAAGTTCGCGTTCTCGCTGTTTGCTCGCTTAATGCGTTCCGAAAATTTACTCGTAAACAGAGATTTGCATAAAGGAGCAACAATTTCCTCGCACAAAGGCGTTTGCTGTTTCTCGTGACTCAAATTCACACTAAATGCAATAATCATAGGATAAAAATGAAATAATAATTATAAATTCTCAAGCTTCCCATAACAATTAAGCTACATAGTTGCAAATTTTGCAAATTGCATGTTTTGTAAATTTTTGGTATAACTATAAGTTGTAATGTAAAGATATTATAATTTAAGATTGAAATTGTTTAAGTAAAATATTTCAGTGAAATTAAAAATTGAAGTCTAAAAATAGTAAAAATAATTTTTTAGAAATTTAATAAAGAAATTTTTCTGATGATCTCTCAAATTATATCATTAAAACTATTGTTACTGTAACTTGTACGACGTGGAGACGAAGTCAGACTTTTGTTTACGACTTCCTGCCTTTGACACTTTTGTAAAACTGGTGTCAAAAGAATCTCTATCCACTACGACAAAAATGCAATCCGACATATAGAAGGGCCGCGAAAAAATGTGCGGTCGTTCGCGACATTCCCTTCAAAATTTCCGCGACGAGCGCCGGAAAATTCAGACGTTGTCGGAAGCGAGAAAGCGGACGAATTCCGGAGATCCTGGCGGAACGAAATTTTCTGACGTCTCTCGTCTCTCTTTGTTGTTCGGCCTTTTGTTCCGGCCCGATGGAAATGTTGGCCGGCGACCAAATTGCGTAACTCTCGCGAGAGTGTCGCGGAAGGTTGAGTCGGTTGAAGTTCGAAGGAGCAAAACCTCGGAGAAGGGACTGAAGGGAAGAGATACGACGTAGACGACGGGGGCGGTGCCGGGTAGTGTTTGGACTCCGTGGAGAATATGGAGGGTATGAGAGAGGGTGCTGGATGGATCGGCGTCAAAGTGAGGCAACCTGATGTATATGCATGCTACTCTCGGGTCAGCGGGATGGCCTGAATTACCATAAACATGCTAGATAGTAGGCTAACTGCCGTTGTTCCCGTCTCCGACCTGCTATCACCCTCGCATCCACTCGGTCGGTTTACCCCCTTCGATTTGGCAGAGCTATAGTGCATTTCTGTCTCTTGTCTTGGTATGCAAGCGAACGTTTCGTGCCCCTTTGTGCTCGCTTTATGACATTATCGATACGATGAAGACATTTATAAACGATAAAATATAAACAGTAGTTGATTCGATCTTGAATCACGCTCCTTTTAATTATGAATATTATGTAAATCTTTAAAATCATAAATTTAAAGCATACTAAAAATATTTGCCAATATAATGAAAAGAAAATTACACTGAGAAAAATGTACTAAATTTTAATAAATATTTTTTTTAATAGTTCCATCTGAATCATTTACAGTATATACAGATAAATATTTATATCAATAAAAAATAATTGTTAATCAAATTAATGTATCAAATAAATATATCTTTAGTAAATGTTTAGTTGGTACAATTCGAATAATTGAATAAAAAATAAATGATAAGAATAATATATAAAAATATTATATAAATATTATAGAAAAATATCGCATTAATTTTGAAAACGTTGTCACTTATTATGAAAAAAATATAAAGGTAAATGTAAAAAATATATATGCATGTTTGAAAAATTTTGCTTCATCATAGCAATAGTAATAGCACGAAAGGACGTTATATTTTTTACAGGGAAACTTGATCGTAATTTTATCGAGAGAATACATCCGTATCTAGACTTCTAGAGAGAATACATTTGGTTGCGAAACAGGAGAAAAGGAGGAGGCGACTTTGATGTTCGCTTTGCACAGTGAATTTACTGATGTGTTATTTCGCAAATAGCTCGCTATTTGTCATGGCTCCGAAACTCGATTCGCACTCTCATATCGTGCCCAACTTCGTGTATCTAACACACGAGTGTCTTATTTATTTCCTAGTCATGTCGCGTGAGTTTAGCGCTTTCATCGCTTGTAAGGTATTTTTGTCATAAAATTAATCTTTTGCTAGATTATTTGTTTCGGCTAATCGTTTACAGTTAATTTTGCGGGACATTCGAGTGATGGAATTAAATTTCTTATGTAGAAATTATAGTCGTTATAAAGAATTCCAAGTTTATTATGATATACATCGTGAAAACGAACGTAGTTATAATTTTAAAACGTATAAAAAGAAGAGCATATAAGAAACTACAGTACAAGTTATAGTTTGTGATATTTAATTATTATTACATTAATTAAAACATTAAACGTTTCGGTCACAATCTGGCCATCTTCAGTAATTCAATAATATTCTTAAAACGCAGAGTTACATCTAGTTGACATTAAATTCAACCGTCGTGTGTTGTAATTATATAAACGTGTTCTTTTCTATGTGAAGATGCTTCATACAATAATGTTACAACGCCAATTGTCATATCACGAAAAGTGTAGAACAAGAATTTCCAGATTCTAATTTAAAACAAATTTGTATATCATTAATATCTTCTAATCGGAATATAAAGGAATAGAATCGTTACCTGTTTTACAGCAAAAAGATTAATGATGAATCTCAAGTACATCCTTTGCAATTAGAAATTTGTCGTGACATTGTGTGTTGTTATTTGTCATATCATATATTTTACCACTATTTATATATATGAGTCAACAGTTTAGAAAGAGTTAGTCTAGAATTATTTATTAAAAGAGAGAGAGATTTTTCTTAAGAAGAGGAAAATAAACATCAGGCAAACCTTCCGTGTCACTTTGCTGATACCTCTTGTTTGGCTTTTTATATGTATCATTTCAGAAATTTTTCTTTTCATTAAGAATTTTAAACACAGAACAATCATTAATGAAAAGAAGAATTTCTGAAATGATACATATAAAAAGCCAAACAAGAGGTATCAGCAAAGTGACACGGAAGGTTTGCCTGATGTTTATTTTCCTCTTCTTAAGAAAGATCTCTCTTTCTTTTAATAAATAATTCTAGAACTTTCTAAACTGTTGATTTATATGTATAAATAGTGGTAAAATATATGATATGACAATAACAACACACAATGTCACGACAAATTTCTAATTGTGCAAAGGATGTTGCATGCTTGAGATTCATCATTAATTTTTTTGCTGTAAAACAGGTAACGATTCTATTCCTTTATATTCCGATTAGAAGATATTAATGATATACAAATTTGTTTTAAATTAGAATCTGGAAATTCTGGTTCTACACTTTTCGTGATATGACAATTGGCGTTGTAACATTATTGAATGAAGCATCTTCACATAGAAAAGAACACGTTTATATAATTACAACACACGACGGTTGAATTTAATGTCAACTAGATGTAACTCTGCGTTTTAAGAATATTATTGAATTACTGAAGATGGCCAGATTGTGGCCGAAACGTTTAATGTTTTAATTAATGTAATAATAATTAAATATCACAAACTATAACTTGTACTGTAGTTTCTTATATGCTCTTCTTTTTATACGTTTTATTATGATAGTAAATGAGCTTTGCCTAATAAACAAACGCGAGAGAAGGTTGATGAATAGGTATTCTAAAGCAAGCTTTTAAATATAATTATATTTTAAATTATTACAGCAAAATACATTTTTAGAAAGAATCTTCCTTTTCTCACATTGATACAAATTCTTTGCACAATTTCAAATAGATTTTTCTTTATATAATTCTCTATATTATTTTCATAATTTATATTATTATATCTTTTTGGTTTGCAACATTATCAGCTAATCTCTTTTTAGAATTTTAATATTTTTCATAATTCTCTTCGTTTGCAATTCGAATTTTTTTGACATAAGGGAATTTTATTATAAAATTTCACTGAAATAAAAAAAAGTGAAATTTGATTTCCTTTTTTAAAATATCTTGTTAAAAAACTATATGATAATGTAATAGAGATGTTGAAAAAAAATAATCTTGAATTTTTACAAGTCTATAATATAATATTTTTTAAAAGTCTATAATAGTAAAAGAATTTGAGCTGGACGAATAGTTAATTCTTAATTTAATGGTAAAATTCTTAATTTAGTATATATATATACATATGTATAGAGAGAGAATTATATTATACATATAATATAATACATATATTATTAAGAAACCTCCTGTCTCTTCCTCTCATATTTTTTTCACATAAATACGAAATATGTTACATAATTATACTATTCCATACCTTTTTAAGTCTTGTTAGCTTAAAGACAGATGTAAGAATAAGGGACAGCTACTCTCATATCCAATCATCTTCTTATTGTTAGTCCAAAAACATGAAACACAGAAACACAAGAAATGCAACATTTTATTCACTGAAAATCACTCTGACAATAAGACTGATGGTAAATTCGGTCACTCAAAAAAAATTATACTGGATTAATACACATTAAATGCATTACTTTATATAAAATATCTAGATGTAGTAATATAACTTAATAAACTTTAATAATGAAATAATACATGTTTATTCTATTAAACAACGTGACAATTATATTACCATTCCGTATTTAATTATTTAAAGTATTTATACAGTGAGAGCAAAAAGTATTCGTACAAGGAAATTTATTATAGAAAAAGCCTTATTTGTAGAAAATAAATATAATTAACAATTTTATACATTGAATACATTCTGTTCTAATATAAACAAATAAGCTTAGCATGTATTCCTGATTTTAGAAGCTTAATTTCTCGCCTGTACTTTTTGAGCATTCAAACAATTTATAATTTTCATTTATTTTTCGGATGATATATTTGGTATAATTAATACATATCATTTTGGTATAATTTTAAGAAACAGTCTATTTTATTCTTTATGAATAAATTATTAATTATCCAACAAGAAAGGGTCGTTAATTAAACGTCGAATTGATGTTAAAATCATCGAATTTATATCGATTCGATACCAATTTGATGACTCATTTCTCGCTGGATAATATTAACTTTTTAAAAATAAAACTTTTTTAAAAAATATTTTCTCTGTACGAATACTTTTTGTACTCACTGTATGTTTGTATAAAAGCACATATAAATATTTTAAATAATTAAATATCTAATATTGATATTGTCATGTTATTTAATAGAATATACATATATTACTTCATTGTTAGTTGATTTTATTAAATAACGTAACAATATTATTAGATATTTAAAATATTTATACGCTTTTATAAAAGCGTATAAATATTTTAAACAATTAAATATGTACCTAATAATAATATTGAGTTAATTAATATATAGAATATACATGTATTATTTCATTGTTAAAGTTAATTACCTATATTACGCTACTGCATACTTTAAACGTATATGTTGCTAATTTTATATTTAGATACATATTCAGCTGCTATAACAGTTTTTAGTATGCTTAAGAGGATTATTCCTTAACTCTTAACGACTGTAACTGTAGCATTACAGTGTCGTCACGCAGCTTTTTTAACTATGTACAAAACTTGCACGATGACACGCCATGTAATACTACAATTCTAGTCGTTAAGAGTTACAGAATAAGATCCTTAATCTAGTGTAATGCGAATAATCGAGTTCGCTATGAAGAAACGTAGAATATTTCAACTTACATTTTTTTGGGAACGCCACAAATATTCAACTGGCACGGAGCAATTGTTTTTGCGTGTCGTCACGCTGTGTCCGTAAACAAGGTCACCGGCCGGCCGACGTGTGGCGCTGCGTACTTAACTACGTATCTGTTCGTTCGTGTGGCGCTGCGTACTTAACTACGTATGTATTCGTGCGGCGAGGCTCGAGCGGTGCGGAATTCCTGCGACGTTCCTGCGTATTTTATCACATTATTATTTCGCGTAACGCGATCGCGACAATGAACATCAAGTCTTGATGACTCTGTCGAAACGTTCGTATTTTCCGTGTGTTTCCTTAATCTTTTGAAAACTTTCTGATAAAACTGACCGAGAGAAACTTGTCTCGTACGTTAACGTTCGCTTTACAATTATTTTAGTACTATTATAGAAATAAAAGTGTGACACACACACGGGATGAGAATTATATGAATTAGCGTCTCGTCGACATTTTCGTCGGGTAATTATATATCTTTGATATTCTTGCTCTCAATTTATAAATAAAAATTGTGCTATTCTTGAGTTCAAAGTAAGACTCGATCGCGTATGAGCAATCTATGTAACGAGAAAAGCCGTGATATATAATTTTTCTTTTGAATAATACGCGTGTCTCGCGAAATTCGAGATGTATTACGCATTCAGTGCTGAATCAGGCCAGGTATTATTGGACGTCCCGTCGCGTTTCGATTAATTCGCCATTAATTCAGTTTTACCGACCGCATTAGGATAATGTCTTATTAATCGCGGCATCGATCTGAAGTTGGCGAGCTGCTTGAAGTTCACTTCGCGTCGTTCGCAGTTAGTAACGAAGGGTCGCTGGTGTGGAACGGATCGGCTCCGCGTCAACCGTCGTCGTGACGACTTTAACATGATAAGTATCATTCAAATGAAGCTTTTGTATTTCAATATTTGTCAATCGCGTGGTATAAATTCGATACGTGCATATCTATGTGTTTCCGAAACGCATATCTCGCGATAACAGAAGTAATTCATCATGCGAACGGAAAACGACGATCATATTCTCCATTCTTCCGATATTTGTGCTCGAAATATTTCACGATGCTTGTCGTATAACTTTCATTCGCGTACGTACATCTATTTCGTGTATTATAATACATGTAATAAAGATACAGTAAGCATATGCTGTTTGCCATTCAAAGCGCGAAAAGTGCACGGAAATGCGGTTAGAAGCAACAGGTGTAGGCGTCGCGTCGCCGCGGCGAGTAGCGCCTGAAGTTGACCGCGTGATTTTTCGACTCCGTCCGCCATGTTGTAGATTCGTTCGTCGCGTCCGTTGCGCCGCATCGAACGTCGCAGTTGCGAGTTCTGATAGTACAATCGCAATTTTCTCGCGTTTATTCCGTCGTTACGTCGCGCTATCGCGTTGTCGGGAGTGCCGCACGATCGTCTTTTGGTAATTAGTGCGCGTTTAATTAACCGCGCTCGCGAATGAGTGTTGTGCGAGTGCATTCGACGAAATCTGAGAGGAGGAAGAGGCCCGGGGAGGCATCGGGCGTCAACGGAACAACCGCGGAGTGAGTATTCATTCTTTTGTTTGTCATTTCTTACTTGTGGAATTAATCGCATTTATTTTTGCGACAATCACGAATATTAGATAATTTACATAAAAGATAATCTTTTATTTAAGGATGTATTAGGTATCCAATTTTAGCCACTACTTTGTACAGATATATAGTATCTGTACAAAGTAGTGGCTAGATTTGGAAATTTATTCTTTTCATGTAAAAATGAATATTATATATGCATGGAACATTTCAATAAGTACCAATATTTATTTTAGATAACGATACAATTTTATAGTTTGAATGAAAATTTTTTTATTTTTTTAAATTATTTTTTTAAAAAACGTATCTATTTTTTATTGAAATAATTTTCGATCTAGGTTCTAAATTACAGCTAAATTTTTTTTATTACTTTTTAAATATAGAATATATTTCAAGAAAAATCTACAACTTTTCATAATTTTTTCATTTTGTTCAAAAATATGTAATACATCCTAAAATGTATCAAATTGTATGAAAGCTCATACTTGAGAATTTTTGGAAAATTATATACATGTATATATAATTAATTTTATAAATTCAAATGTTTAATATCAAAATATTAAACATTTGAATTATAAAATAATTATAATAATTATAAAATAAAATTTTGTATAAAATAATTATATATACATATATATATATATAATTTTTGTCAAACATAATTTAATGTGTACAATAATAATATTTAAAAAAAATATTAATTATTTTAGCCAACTCTAATTTGGAATATATTTATGATTTATAGGCGATGTTTTGCAACTCCGTTGCTGCGCATTGTATTGGTGAGTCTAATTGTTAATTTTTTTCTAAGGTAGGGAATCTACGAAGATCATATTGGATAAATTAGAAAAATATATGTATAAATGAAACACTTCGTAGATTCATTCTCTTGAAATGGATGGACTAGAATTAAGTTAAAATAAACATTTTTCTTAGAAATCCTTTACAATTATTCATTGATTTATTATGCTTATAACATAATGAATTATAATTATTGATTGAACTTATTCTAATTCTAATCTTCAATAAATTCAAATCTTTTGTAGTCTATCCATTGATATTTATAGATTGTTAATTGTCTTTATATCATTTGAAATAAATTTAAATAAAACATGAATGACAATAAATTTCGTCGTGATGTAAAAGAATTCATTATTAAAAAATTTCATTTCAATTAATTCGCTTAATTCGTAGTTGCTATTTCACTTACTTTATAAAATGCAAATGCAAATTTGCAGCAAATATAATCGAATCATGAGCTCTACATTGACCGCATTGTAATCACGTTTCGCATGCAATACAAATATAACTAAACAATTCCTATTAATGAAATTATGCAAACAACGATAATAGACTAACTGCAAATTATCTCGTAATTGTATTTAAATAGGCATCTTATCGCGATATCGACTAGGCCAATAAATTCATGTTGATGCGCTTTTGAAAATCGCATCTTTCACTCAATTAGTACAAATTTTTTTTTACAAACTTTGTTTTATATTATTGCTCGTGTAGCGACTCTAATCGTTTCTGAGGAAAATAATGTTTCTAATAAATTATGGATATTTTATTTATTGTACCTGTAAAGTGTGACTGATTGAAATCAAAACTAAAAAAATAACAAAATTTTTAAATAAAATATTTAAAAAAAGTTAAAAAAAATTGCAATGTTTTATGCGAATACAAAAACATATTGCGAAAATTATCTACTTTTTCGGAGATTTGTTAATATTAATATATTGCATCTAAAATATGAATTTTTTTTATAATAAAAAATTATTTATTATTATACAAAGTTATTACGTGAAAAAATAAAGAATATATCTTAAATTATTTTTAATAAAATATATTTAATTTTTAAAAAATTGATGTATCCTCGTACAAAAGCCACGCATATCACTATATATTTTAAGTTCTTTTAAATATTAAAAAATTTTAATATTCCACCATATATTAAAGAAGAAGCTTAGATTTAATATGCAGCTTGTATCAAACATCTGTGTTGTATTTGTTCTTATCATATTTCTTGGGTCATCGTACCTTTTATTAAACTTTCTTTATCATCAGTCATTCTTTTTAAAAATAAAAGAAGAAATAGGAATTTCGTGAAAAATTTCGCTTCTGAAAAATATTGCTGTCTTATTGCTAGTTTAACTCAACTCTTAGCTCACATAATTGGATCGTTGTGTTCCGCGCATATTTTTCTTTGAAATACTAGGAACATTTAAGTAATTAAGGTCTCTATCTTTTTTTAAATATTTTTTAGAAATATTAAAGTATATGTAATTAATAATTTTAGAAATTCCCGTTTATTGTCCCATTTATATTTGCAAAAGTAATGAAAATTAACCCAAGACACGAACGTTGTAGAATTTTAATTTCATATGGACCTTACAGAAATAGTAATTAAATTAATATTAACCCATTTATTACTGAAAAACAGTAATTAATTACTTATTTAGAGTATTAAAAGTATTAAACAGTAATAATTTTCAAATTTAAAATAAATAATTAATTATTGTCTTTCAGTATTGACTACCATTAGATGTCGTAAGAGGATCTATCATGTGTAAAAAAAAATCATCGTGTATTAACTGTTAATTCGTTCCTAAAATTGTGTTATCTAAAAATTCTGTCATTTTTCTCAAGCGAAATAATTTTTAATTGTTAAATATTTATTCCATTATGTAAGGTTCTCGGAAACAGTTTACTGTTATTTGAGTGTCAAGAGATTCTCCTCGAGGATCCGATCATACCGATACTTGAATGCGATTAATTGCAGGAGAGAGATTACGAAATCGCTGGAGGGTAGTTAACATTACGCTGTAGGCACGCTGGTGCAATCCGATCTTGACAATAAACGGGAATTTCTGACCAATTAGAATGCGGTATGCTGCTGATGATCGGATAACACCGCGTCTACCTGTCAGAATCTCGAGACTGCATTCTGTCTGTTCCGCGGTCACTATGCCGAGGTTTAGGGAACATCAGAAACCAGGTATAGGAATACAACAATTATTGGAGACTAGCAAACATCGGTTATATATACAATAATGTTATCAAACTCGCGGTAAAGTTAAGAAGTACAATATAATTATACTATTATATTATGTATATGAATATTCGACTAATTAACTTGTTAGTTTGATAAAATAATTTCATGGCTCGATTTAAATAATATAGAATAGAAATCTGAGTAGCTTCGCACTTTTTTTCCTTCATTTGCGTCTGCGTATATACTGAAAAGAATGTTTGATCGACTGGTCCGATTTTTTGCCTAACTGTTCGATAAAATTCTATTAAAAATTCGAGTAGCAAGAGAGCTGTACTCCACGAGATTAAACCGTGCCAAGGGAGTTGAAGCACGAGACAACTTTATCGGGAATGGACGAGGGAGGGGAAAGTGAAAGAGTAGATTTACCGAAGGTTCAATTATCCGTGCGCGCGTTATCCCAGTCTCTTTTTTTCGGTGCCGCGGATTTACACCGTGCTGGACAAAAGCTCCTCGGTCTCGGGCTTATCTGCGACGGATAAAAAGGCGGTTATCTCCGCACACGCGCTGCACGGGACCGCATCGAGATTTCAGATAACGTTTTAATAGGATTAGGAGGCGATCGTACCCGCGGTCGTCCTTCCAAATGGGCTTGTCCTTTGCACAGTAACAACCTTCAGC